GAGGAAAGCCCTGTCTTTCTCCCTGATGCCCGTAAGATTTAACCATAAATGCCTCTCCGAGACCACCATAGCTGCCATGGAGCGACCGACAGCGCGGGCCGTCTCCTTGGTGACTCGGAGAGACAAATCAGCGACCTTCCTCAACTCCGCAATATCTTCCGGAGTTGGACCCTCGCCCTCATCAATGTCCTTAAGAAGGTCGGCCTGGTACGCCTGGAGCATAGCCATGGTGTGAAGACTCGCACCAGCCCGACCCGCAGCCATATAAGCCCTGCCCACTAGCGCTGATGTGTCTCTACACGGCTTAGTGGGCAGCACCGGGGCTTTAAGGGATGATGCCGACTCAGGCGATAAATAATTCGCCAAAGGCTGTTCAACGCGCGGCATCATCCCATAACCGTTCTCTCGTGCCCCCATGATGTTACTATAATTAATAATAGGGGGATTGGAGACACGAGAAGAGTGTGGTTTTTTCCACGATCTACACAACTCGTTGTGCAGATCGGGAAAGAACGGCAAGCCCCGGTGATGAGGTTGTTCCCTGTGCTGCAGGAAGCGCTCATCCAGTTTGCTTTTAGTTTGCGCTTCCTGCCTCTCTTGTGGCCAGCTGATATTTAAATGAGCCACCGCACGGGAAACAACCTCAACCAGCTCCTCATACGCGGGGACACGGGGCGGCGAGTCGTCCCCGAAATCCCCGCCCTCGATGCTGAGCACGTCAACCTCCTCGGAGGCAGACAGCTCAAACATCGGATCCTCGACTCACGCAGAAGAAGCCGCAGGGCGGGCTTCTGCGCGAGGCTCGAGGACATCAGAACTGCCCGATGAATCCCGAGAAGGTGCCTCGGCAGCCTCGAGATCCCCGGACAGATCTTTTTGCGAGCCCCATGAAGAGCGTCGCCGCGCCGCCTCAGCGAACGCGGGTCCCGCACCACGGGGCTCGCGAGGCTGACCATCTTCATCAAAGATAGCCAGCCGGGAACGCAGCACACGGATTGTCAACTTTTCACAATCCTCGCAAGCAGCCCCCTCGAGAGCTGCCTGCGCGTGCTGCATTCCCAAACAATGTGTGCACAGTTGGTGTGTGTCCCCGCCCGTGATGTAGCGAGGGCAAGGATGCACACACTTCCTGAAGCTCACACTCGCCATTTCACTCATTCAGATTCACTCAGTAACAGACAACAATAAATAGGACAAACAGTCACAGATAGCGCTTGCTGAAGAACAGAAAGCTGACATCTTATGTGTGCCGGCTGCTTTTATAGCTTCCGCCTATGTGCCGTCACACATTACGTCATGACGTTGCACCAATCAGAGATCGGCTCAGTTTCATTCATACTTCAGAGGCGCTACGCTGAGGGGCGTTCCCCCAAAGTGTCATTCGACGCAGTTGGAGTTCCCTCGAAAGGGAACTTTATGCATTGATTGATTTTTTGGGTGCTCGCTTTCGGGTTGAGCTTTCCGCGACTGCGCAACTGGGGTATAGGTTGCCAGGTTGAGATGACAAACGGGTTGAAATTGTGTATGGTGTGTGGATTGTAATGCATTTAATACAAGATCTGGCAACTGGTCAACATTAGACAAACATATTGGTCCGATTATTCGTAAAGGAGTTTGGGCCATGCAAATTACGGGAGTTTCCCGGGAGAAATAACTAACCGGGAGGGGTCCGGGAGATAGGGCTAAAAAACGGGAGAAACCCGGGGAAAACGGGAGTGTTGACAGGTATGCATTGATTTGTGTCAATCTTTTATTATCATTTTTTACAGTACTTCAATCCAAATTAAGGAACTGGATTGGAATCTATGGAATTCTCAACTTAATTCTGAAAAGTGCACAAACATGGTGGTGAAAATAATACTACACCCTTAACGCTAAAGATAAATGCTCACAATACTTCATCGTATTTTAGGTCCATTCTACAACATCCGACAGCAAATATAAACCGTATCAAGCTCCGCTTTGAAGTTGGTTAACTGCCATGACTGTAACAGAAACCATCTTAACTTACAACTTTAAACTTGAGAAGAGCTGTTCTTGAAAATAGATGCCAATATTTCATGTTTGAATTTGCAGCTTTTTCAAAGGGGGGAAGAACCAAATGCAGCACAAAATCTTCAGTTGTTGGAAAAAAAAGAAGAAAGCAGCTCAAGTCGCTCTGTGTTCCTTTGGCCGTTTAGACAGCTGTGCGGATGATTCATTTGTTTAACGTGTTGGCTTTAAACTTCAGTGGAATTTCACCATACATTTCTACATGCCTCCTGCTGCGTTCATTTTTCCTGCAGTGATGTCATAGTCAATTCATCTGATAACACTGTGTGCATTAGGGGAACAACCGATCCTCTTGTGTGCCTTAGTTCATTGGTGGTAAAGCAATCAGACTGGTGACTACAGACATTAATGAGATTTATCCATTCTTATGGACAAGTAATTTAATATGATGATGGGAGAAGGCAGTATAGCTGCCATGCTTGACTTCACAAGAGCTAACGTATGCTTATACAGTGAAGTCCCGGAGTCTCGGAGCATTTTATAAACCAAAAAACAAAGAAATGTTATGAAATAAAAATTAATATCAAATATGTATGTCATGACAACTCTCGGAGTGTTTGGCATGGTAATGGATATGACAATGTTAATATGTTTGGTTTTGGTTGAATAGATCTGCTCAATGGCTACCGTCAACTGTCTGGTTACCAACATACTTTAAAATATCTTCTTTTGTGTTCAGCAGAAGAAAGAAACTCATATAGATTTGGAACAACACGAGGGTGAGTAAATAATGACAACATTTTCATTTTTTGGTGAACTATCTCATTAAGGAAAAAGTTGCCTGCATCATCTAGAACAGGGTTCCTCAAATCCGGTCCTGGAGGGCCACTGCCCTGTAGAGTTTAGTTCCATCCCTAATCAAACACACCTGAAACAAGCTAATCAAGGTCTTCAGAGTTACTAGAAAATTGCAGGTAAGTGCGTTTGATCGGGGTTTGAGCTAAACTCTCCAGGGTTGGATTTAAGGACCCCTAATCTAGAGTATCATGTGAAAAATAATAAAAGGTCAGATGTTCTTGCTTCAGCTGAAGAACAGGATGCATTTTGGAACATGCTGGATGACATGGATCGTCCAATCATTAATTATTCATTTAATCTTTTTACTCAAGTTTTATGCTGAAGAAAAAAGCATTTGAAATAAATGGATACTGCAGTCCAAATTCAAAATATTGGAGTGAGTTGTTTGCCCGCCCCCTCCTCTTCAGACTCGACGCTCATGTGGGTTGCCAGATTGAGGACACGAAGCAGGAGCGAGTGCAATTGACAAAGAAATCCGAGGAGACTTACACACTATATTTGATGAGTTTATTTATCCGCGTTTTAACATGCTCACTTTCATAGAGATTTTTATATGGATGCCGAGGCTTTTTAGGTAGGGTAGAATCTGCGATATCTGACCCAGTTCGTTAGGCTGCAGTACACTGTATTCCTTCAACTGGCAACCCAGAGTGTCAAAACAATATTAAATTGGCAGTGGGCGGGATCACACAGACCAAAACAAAAACAGACATTCCAACACGGAACAGACAATTCAAAATAGAATACCTGTAGCATTGCTTTTCGGAGAAACGAGTATGTGAACTGAACATTCCAAAATCTCTGAAACATATTATGTTACGCCAGAAAGGTAGAGAAGACTAATGCTACAGATTATTTTTTTCTTTGGAAATATCGAAGATATTGTCACGGTTTGTTATTTTAATAGCAATAAAAAAAGATCAATAGTCATAAAAAGCTAGTGCTGCATGTTTTCTGAGTATGAAAATATTAAATGATACAGTACATTGCACCTCTCCAAATCTGCTCCTGAGGGTTAACAATGAGAGCTCACTGTACTTCACTTCTGCCAAGAATTCAAGGCTTTTCAGAGCTAATTTCACAGATCATTGGCTGAACTCAAACAATTAATGCAGTTCTTTCAAGTCATTAGACTGCTGACGTCCGTTGCAGTTTGTATGAGGGAGGTAGAAAAGTTGAAGATTGTAAATGAAAAGAAAAGCATACAAAAAACAATACCAACAATGACTGGTTTAAGCCTTTTAAGTGAGTGGCTTCTTAGCTTGAATACAAATTTAAAAACTTGAATACAATTACAAAATGTGAACATCGTTCATAAATGATTATAATACAAATATAAGGCACAAAATATTCATATCCTATTTGCTAATCCACTGTTTCCACACATATTTCAGATAAAGAAAAAAAAAAAGCTGTTAAAATTTTTGGGGTCAGTAAGATATTTTAAATGTTTTGAAAGAAGTCTATTAATGCTCACCAAGACTGCATGTGATTGTTTCATTGTGAAATATCATTGCAATTCAAAATAACTGGTTTACGGATATTTATTATGTAATTTTTAGCAGCCATTCCTGTAGTCTTCAGTATGATACTTCAGAAATTATTCAAATATGTTGATTTGCTACTCAAGAAATATATAAAAAGAAAGTATTTTGATGAATATTTCAACTGTTTTAGTCCATTCAAAGAAAGTTTTGGAAGGGCATTTTTCAAAATATCTTCTTTTGTGTTCACATAAGAAATACAGGTTTGGAATGATATAAGAATTTATGACCTATAGACATTTTATTGTGTTGACTAAGTAATGTCAACTAACACACATTAGAGTATTAGTAGACTGTCTGCTTAATATCTGCTAACTCTTTATTTTGATTCTCCCCCAACAGACATTCTACTGACTATAGGTAACTTTGCAAGTACATAAAGTAGCAACTTATTCTACTAACCCTAACCCTACCCTTAACAGTCTACTAATACTCTAGTGAGAGTTAGTTAGTCAACAGAATGTCTAAAGGGGACCATCAAAATAAAGAGTAACTGAATTTTCATATTTTGGTAACGGTCTTTCTAGTAATGCTGTTTTCCTTTGCTAATTGTAACCAATAACAAGGCAAGAAACAAGACTGAATTCTGCTCTAAATGAAACTGACCTGGAACCCCAGCCTTCATCCACATGTTAATATCCGTTCCCTCTCCGTGTTCTTCAAGCGACGTGACATTGATGGCAGCCAACAGTTTCATCACCTCCTTCATGATTACCCGAGCTTTGTCGCTGCCAGTGAATTGCAGTCCCAGAGGGCTGAAGGTGCCTAGATCAGACTCCATAACCAGGTCAAAGTTTGAGATGTTTGCCTTAGGAAAAGTGACCACAAAACCAGAATGTAATAGGCAATTTTAAGGAATGCTAAAGCTGAATAATATTTCAAAAATATTATTTAAAATAATATTATATTGTACAATATGTATAATATTATGTTTTTATAATCAACCCAATATAAAGTAGCACTGAATGATTTTTTGTTAATCTGGTTTATTCTATCTGCCACAATTTTTTTTCCTACTAAAAGAATGATGGTTTGTTTCATTCTCAGAAGTGCATTGCCAGTCCACGTCATAGAAAGCTCTACCAAATATCTACATAATCGGATGTAATACAGTAAAAATTTGGGTCAGTAGCCAAAACGCAGCATTTGAATCCTGCTTGGCCTGAAACCACCGCTCTATGATCAGAATCCAACCTCATAAAGTAAAAACGAAATCCCATGGCAGTGCGCAGATACAATAGAGTTTTATGTCTGCTGACTAAATTGTTCCATACCATAAAGTATCACTTTACAGCACACAGACCTGACAAATACGGTTTATTGCACTGTTCGCTCCAAAACCAGAAGAGTCCAAGTAAAACATTAATTGACAGAAATTTCAGCCAATTTGCTCCTCCAGCTAAAATTAGGATCAATTCTGAGAGTACTTTCAGCATTAAAACAGACACCACACAGACCTGGTAAAACCTTTTTGTCAGATGCCATAATCCAAAACAGTAAAATAGGCTATTTAAATAATTATAAACAGAACTAATTGTGACGGTACTGTGTACTTTCAGGATAAGAGATCCTGATGGAAGATTTCAAAAGTGCTCTCAAGGACAAAAGAGTACTCACATAATGCACAGAGAAAATGTGCTACATTAAATTTCTGTTAATGTTTAACTGATACAGTCGTGGTCAGAATTACTGGCACCCATGGTAAATACGATCAAAGAAGGCTGTGAAAATAAATCTGCATTGTTTATCCTTTTGATATATATATTTTTTTAAATCACATAAAACCTAACATTTAATTTAAGTAAAACTAATTAAAAATACATGTCTTTTCTTTAATAGATGTTGGCCACAATTATTGGTACCCCTAAAAATTCCTATGAGTGAAATATCTCTGAAGTTTATTCCCCTTCATATTTACAATATTTAGCACAACAGGGTGACTAGGAACATAAAGTTAACCAGCCATGACTTCCTGTTTCACAGGAGTATGAGGAAACACAAAGGCCATCATCCATCACAATAGGTAAAACAAAAGAATATAGTTCTGATGTGCTGAAAGTGGCAAGAAAATAGCTAAAGCATTGAAAATTCCCATTTCCACCATCTGGGCTATCATTAAGAAGTTCCAATCAACAGAAAATGTTATGAATCTGCATGGAAGAGGACACGTGTGTTTGAGTGGCCAAAGACTCTTCAAGGATCACAGCTTGAGAATTGCAGAAAATAGTCTTGGGGTCAGAAAGCCTAAAAAAATAACAGCACCTATCACCACCACAAGTTGTCCGGGAGGGTTTCAAGAAAAATCCTCTGCTCTCATCTAAAAACAAACTTTAGCATATTCAGTTTTCAGACACTACTTGACCTTCAAACAGGACTGGGTTCTATGGTCGGCAGCAAACACTCAAGTTGGGTTTGGTGCACACATGGATAAAAAAGTACCCCATGTATACAATTAAATATACTGCTGGATTTTTAATGTTGTGGCATCATGGATTCTATCAAATACCAACAGATAAAAAAATCAAAACCTGACTGTTTCTACTAGAAATCTTCAAATGGGCCATTGTTGGATCTTCCATCAGGGCAATGAGCCAAAACAAATATCAAAATCAATACAAAAGGGGTCACTGAGCACGAAATTGAGGTTCTGCCATGGCCATTTCAGTCCCCTGACCAGAATCCTATAGAAAACTGAAGAGGAGAGTATATCAGCATGGATCTGGGAATCTGAAGGATCTGGAGAGGTTCTGCATGGATGAATGGTCTCAACTCATCAGGCATTATAGGAGAAGACTCAGAGCTGTCACCTTGGCAAAATGAGGTTGCAAAAAGTATTGAATAAAAGTCATTAATCGTGGCTAATGTGTATTAGAGAAAGACATTTATTTCATAATGAGATTTTCACCCCATTTTAAATTGTTTTACATCAATAAAATGTTAGTTCCCTTTCGTAGTCACTCCGAGTTACGTCGGATGACGGAGAATGGGGGTTTCGCCAGAAAGCCTATCATCTTCGAGTATTAAAAAACGAGCCTATGGCAATGAAATGCCATGGGTCTGCGGAATTTGCATAATGTATCTCCGCCCCACCGCGTGGGTATTTAAGGAGAGACACCTGCAACAGCAGATCATGTTTTCGCTTCGGAGCCAAGAGCATCTCTTCACTCCACAAGCCAAATCCTGAGTTTTCTCAGTGACTACATCTCTTCGAGACGAGCGAACTCTCCGGTGTTGGTGTGACGGCGGTATCCAGCGAGTTTCACATTGCCTGCGAGCTGAGCAGTGGTCTGCCAGTCTGTGTGTTCTCCCTGGTCGCTTCAACATCCGCGGAGTTTTTCCTCTCACTAAAGAGCTGCACGCGGCACGTCTTTTTAAAGACGCGTCTTTCTAAAGACGATCTGCCCGTGTTTTTCTGAGTGTGGTATTCTGATAGATTCAGCTGATGGGCGCGAGCGCTGTTTTGAGTGTTTGGGCTTTGATCGCGCTCAGACAGCGCTCGTGGGTGTGTCACGTTCTCTCACTGGGAACGTGACCATCGCAATGTAACAATCGAGACTCGATGAGCTCAATGAGTGAGAGTCCCCTCATCCACACCCCGATCTATTTTTCTCCACGTGAGATAATACTTCGGCTGGTGGCCAGGGTGACCTAAGACGGCAGGTTTGGAACTAAACCGACGAAAAATTCCTCGGTCCACACCCCGTCTTTCACATTGCAACCTGCGTGGTCCCAGGTGAGTTCGCCGGCCCGCCCGCGGGCCCGCGGTCTCATTCGGTACCCCGGCTGATGAAATCATGTATCACCGCATCACAAGGTGAGCTGGAGTCCTCTAGAGATGATGGCTCGTCTGTGCTGCCGTCCTCGGATGTGCTAGCATAACGAGTTTGATCCAGAGTGCACAGCTATGCTTCCCGGGTGATTGGTTTTTGGGGGTGGCGAACCCAAATCCTTTCTACCCGGACGTGCATGAAGAGATCGTGGAAGTCTCCTTGACTTTTCGCGACTGCTCAGTGGCCTCTTCCGCCTTCTCTGCCCTTGTAGAGGCCGCGGCCTAGGGTGCACTGGGGTTCCCCCTGTGGAGTGTTCTGTGGCAACACTTATGTGTCCCCACAGCGCCTCCACCTGGCGTGGCGACTCTTAAGCACCCCTCCTATGCCTGTAGGTTCTTGTCTACTCCGGTGGTGGGGACCTATAGAGCTGCGGGGCAGGCTGCCACCTCACTGCGTGTTATTGCCATCCTCCTGGGTGTTCAATGACATGCACGAGGGTAGGGCTGATTCAGGGCTCATCCTTGAGCTGCCTGCCGTCACCGACCTTGCTCTCCGAGCGACGTAGGTGACCGCACGCTCCCTGAGTCAGGTGATGTCCACATAGGTGGTCAGACACCTCTGGCTAACCTGGTTGATGTGCGCGAGGCTGAGTGATTTCGTTTCCTCAACTCCCCCATATCCCAGGCTGGCCTCTTCGGCGGCGCGGTCGAGGACTCTGCCCAACAGTTCTCGGCCGCCCAGAAGTGGACTGTGGCTATTTTGTCTGACCCCGCGGCTTTGCTGCCTCCAGCTGCCGGCTCAGACGCCTCAGTCCGCTTGCGGCCGAATGCGCCCTCCTGCGACTTCCGCCCCCTCCCGCCCGGCCCCCAGCAGCACCGGGCCGCGCCGTGGAGGTGGTCGCAGGAAGGCGCCCCTGCCCGTACCGGTCCCGCAGCCCCGCCAAGGCCAGGCTTGCGGCACTCCCGTTACGTGCAGCTCAGATGTGGGTTGCAGTTCTTCAGGGAGTGGTTGCAGGGCCACTCCTTCCCCCGGTGGAGGGCTGGGGGAGAATCTTTCTAAACCAAAGAGCTGCATCCCATCTCTGAGCCCTCAGAGGGCCGGACGACAGTGCGCGACGCTCCCGGGCCTTGCCGCTCTCGTCCCCCTCTGTCTCTGAGGGCGCGGATGACAGTGTGTGCCGTCTCCGGACCACACCACCCTCGTCCCCCTCTGTCGCCAGACCCCTGGCAGAGCAGACCCCCGTGGAACGCTGGTCCTTCCCTGGTCTCCTCTGTCAGGACGCGGAGCATGACCGTGCCCCCGCACCGGGCCGCTATGCCACCCACGCCTGGGCCGGTCACTCCGCTTCGCTGCCCCTCCGGGGGGACGTATGTCGTTCGGATGTTTCCGCTGGTTCAGTTCTTGGGAGCTTGGTTAGAGCTTCCCTACCTGTCCCGCTGGGTCGCCCGAACTATCAGGCTCGGCTATGCGATCCAATTCGCACGGTCTCCTCCCCGCTTCAGGGGAGTCCGTTTACTTTGGTCGGTGGCAATGCCCCGATCATGAGAGCGGAGGTTGCCACCCTGCTGGCGAAGGGTGCAATCGAGACTGTCCCTCCAGCCGAAATGAGGTCAGGGTTTTACAGCCCGTACTTCATTGTCCCCAAGAAGACCGGTGGGTTACGGCCAATCCTGGATCTGTGCGTCTTGAGCCGCTCCCTTCACAGGCTGCCGTTCAGGATGCTCACGACCAAACGCATTTTCGAATGCGTGCGGCCACAGGATTGGTTTGCAGCGATAGACCTGAAGGACGCCTACTTTCATGTCTCCATTTTACCTCGACACAGACCGTTTCTTCGGTTTGCTTTCGAGGGGCAGGCATACCAGTACGCAGTTCTCCCATTCGGGTTGGCTCTGTCTCCTCGCGTCTTTACGAAGGTCGTCAAGGCAGCCCTTGTTCCCCTGCGCGAACACGGGGTTCACATCCTGAATTACCTCGACGACTGGCTAATATTAGCTCACTCTCGAGTCCAGGTTTGCGAACACAGAGATCTAGTGCT